AAGTAGTTGCAGAAGGATTTTAGCCCCGGGTGACCTGATAATCAGTTATTCATCCTTAACTATGATATGAGACTCTGTTCCAGGGAGCAGGGTCTGGGCTGGGTACTCAGAACCCAGGCCTTGCAGAGATTATCTCCTGCCACAGCTTCTTTAGGTGACCCAGAGCTGTCTGGCAGAGTCTAGTCAACCTAACACCTGTGTGTCTCCTTAATGGGAAAAACTCCCCCCTTCCTTTTATCCTCCTTTCCATTTCCACTTCTCTCCCACCCCACATAGCTGACAGATCATCTTACGACTATCAACCTGTGGGGAATGTGATGAGAGAATTGGGATGTTTGCTTCCACAGAGGAAGCCTTTGTAGAACTGTAGTTCTCACTGAAAGCCTGATCAGAGGCCAAAAAGGAAGAAGGAAGCAAAGATGAGAGACAGTTTAAAGAGAGACAGAGAGACAGGGCCAAGGGCAGGAAAAGAGAGAAGATTTGGAGAGTGTACTCAAGCTTAAGATAGAGATGAGAGGCAGAGTGAGAGAGATAAGAGATAAAAGGGAGAGAGGCCCTATTGTTCCCCCACCCCATCCCTGTTACAGATAGGGAAACTGAGGGTCAGAGGAAGAAGTGACCCTATTTCCTAGTGATTTCCCTTTCACTTTTCCTAATACCAACATTTCAGTTCTTCTCTTATTTCCAGATCATTGCTCATGCCCATGTGCCTGACTCTGAGTAGAGTGAGTTAGACTGGATGGAAGGCTCCAAGGCATTCCAACAAGGAAGCCAGAGTGGGATGAGGAGATGGCAGGGCAGGCTGATCAGGGAAGGTTTCCTGGACAAGGAAAGATTAAAGCAGGGCCACAAAGAAGGTTTGCAGGCAACTTTATTGAGGAGTGATTTATGTACAGTAAAATGTACTCATTTTAGTGTCTACTTTACTGAGGCTTGACAAATACGTGTACTCATATACCCACCACCACAATCGAGGTACAAAATATTTCCTTTACCCAGAAAGTTCCCTTGTTTCTCTTTGTAGTGATAGCCCCTGTAACATCGCCCTTGACCCACACTCTGCCAATAGAGATTTGTTTTGCCTGTTCTAGAGTTTCATGTAAATGGAGCCAGACTCTATAGACTTTTATTTGCCCTCTGAAAAAGAAAAGACAAAAAAAAAAAAAACCTCTCCCTATTTGCCCTCTGAGCAGAATGTTTTTGAGACTTTTCTATATTCTTGCACATATCAGTACTTTGTTCCTTTTATTTATTGAATAGTACTCTTATTGCATGAATGTACCACAATTTGTTTACCCATTCACCTGTTGATAGACTTTGAACTCAGGGCTTGAAAATGCTGGTGGCAGGGCTGGGATTTGCATGCTTAGAGATGGCTCTCATGCTTGGAATTCTGGGCTTAGGTCTGCAAACTGAAGGTGCAGGAGTTCTTCCAGAGGAAGGGACAGGGACAAGAATGGAGAGAACAGTTACATGGAAATGGAAGGAAGAAAAAATGACATCTTCTTAAATTGCCATTTTTACTGTCAAGAATAACCCTTATAAAACCCACCCAGTATATGAGTGGACAATGATCACCTCCCTTCTCCAGATGTGGAAAATGAAACTCAGAGATGGAATATCTTGCCTAGACTCATGTAACTGGCCAGTAGGGAGGCAGGAATAGGGGCTCAGGTCCACCTGCCTATCAGATTTTCTCTGCTGCCCCGGAAGCACCAAGGTCTGTAGTCACTGCCCTAGATGTGAATTTTGCCTCCACCACTTACCAGCTGGGCATTCTCGGCAAATTGCTCAATCTCTCTGTGCTATCTACAAAATGGAGGTCCGAGGACTCCCCACCTTATTGGATTGCTGTCAGTATTAATGGAAATGATATTGTGAAGAACTTAGTGAGGTACCTGGCACACAGTAACCATTTATTTGGTGGAAATAGACACCTGCTGCCCATCAGTGCACGTATACCGAATCCCTCCAAAGGACAAGTTCAGGAACCAAAGCTCAGAGATCGTCCAGTATCCAGAGACACTTGAAAAACAAAAAAACAAAAAAAAAATAAAGCCAAGGCTTTGGAGCGTTGGGAGAACCCAGGCTTCTGTAATGATGGTGACGGCAGCGAGGAGCTAGGCCTCAGGTCAAAAACCTAGCGGGGCTATTGTTCTGTCTCCAGGATCAGACTCGAGATTTACCAGTCTGGGTCCCAATCTCCCCTCCCCCCTCGCCCTGCGCCACCTCCACCCAGGCGCTCTGAGTTTCCTGCCCGACGAGGCCCCTCCTTGGAGCGGGTGGAGGAGGGGTGGCATTTCCTGGCTGGGCCGCGCTTGGACGCTCGGACAACGCGCTGACCGACAGACACCAGATGCTATTTCGGGCGGCGCCCCACTTAGCGCACAGTTTCCGTTTTTCCACTGTCGGAAACAGGGGAGGGGGAGAGTGTAGACGTCACAAGCCCCCAGCCCCAGGCGGGGATCTGGGGACGAGGCCAGTCACGGTCGTCAGACTATCAGAATCTGCACTCTGTGGACCGACAAGCGCATGTGCGGAAGAGGGGGGATGGGGAAAGCCACCTCCCGGCCCGCAGACGCGTCGCCTGGGCACATCCTCTGCGGTAGGGTTGACCGAAACCTTTTCACCTGTCCTGCCCTTGGAGGAGTAGCTAAGGATCATTTCATATCCTGGAAAACTATCCAACAGTACTCGGATGCCTCAAAGGCAAAATGCCTTGGTTCAAAACCAAATGCATAATACCTCCCAATTCCCTCCTGGTCTCGGAGACCCGCCATCTCTTGGAATAGCCATGCCATTTAGCCCGATATGACAGCTAGACACCCAAAGTTTTTCTGGATACCTCTCTTTCCCTCGTGACCCCCAATGAAATTCTTACAAACCCAGTTTTTTATATTCTACTTACATGTCATCTTCACCACCATCTAGGTTCTCTCCTCTGCCTGCACCATAGAGCAAGCTCTAATCCTCCTCCCCTCCATTGGCCCCACAACTGTTCTCCCAGGTCCTCCCCCAGCCCCACACTCCACATTGCACCCAAAGAGTTTTCTAGAAAAGCAAATCTGATCCTGTACAGGATATTATCCCCTTAAAGCAAGCAAACAAAATGGTTCGAGGAAAAAAAATCCTTTAATTGTCCACAGGCTTGCTCCATCTATACTCAACTTTTTTCTGTTCCTTTCATGAACTTACGGTCCTTTGTTCAGGCCTCATTTTCTCAAAGGAGCAATCTGCAGCTGGGCTCTCAGATATTGCAATGGGTAGCTTCTTTTTTGCAGGGGCCAGGAGACATGTAATGATTTGCTCAAGGGTTGCCTAGCCCAAGAGTGGCAAGTGAAGACAGGAGTTTTGTGGAAAGGATGGGGCAGGATTAGGCTTTTTTTTTTTTTTCAAGATACAGGTGGCCCTTCCACAATAGGATTCTGTGAAAGTTACCTGTATCCACATGACAGCCAGACTTTCATCAGAGAACACAAAGTAACACTGGGGATGAGGGAACAGGCTGCACTGAATTATGCATCATTTCAGGGAGTCATCCTGATGACCTAGGAGGGGCCAGATCTCAGATGAGGCCCTCACTCTGGGGTCAATCTGTGACCAGACTAAAGGTTTATCCCCAGTTCTCAAGCTTTTCCAAAAGGAGCCTCAAACCAGAAATACTAGAGGGACAGGCAGCCCGGCATCATGGGTAGAGTGATGGACTGGGAATTGAACAACAGAGCTTGGACGTCTGTTTTTTCTGTCACTGTAAATTTGGTCAAGTTACACCTGGCTGTGCCTTAATTTCCTTCTCTATAATAACAGCCAGATCTCCCATGCAAGCATATTTGATGTTTTCCTGGGCCCTAGACTGGACAAGATTCTTTCTATATGTTATCAGCTCCCTCACACCTTTTAAAGATCATTTTACTTAACCCCATAACTTTTTGAAACAGAAATGATCTCATTTTACAGATGTAGAAACTGAAACTCAAAAATATTTGAGTCTGAGGTCTTTCCACTCGACTATGAAAGAATAAAGCTGGATATCCTCCGCAGAATGAGCCCAGGTCACCCAGGTATCATACAGTACAGATCTTGGTCCAACAATGAGTTGTGCTGGTTCCCTCATCCCAATTGAGGTTCTGGTGAGCCTTCTTCAGCTGAGCTCTGAGGGGACTCCTTGCCAATTTTCCTTCAAACCAGGCTTCATCACTCACTAGAAATGTAACATAGGAAGTTACTTTTACTCTCCGTGCCTCGGTTTCCTCACCTGTAAAATGAAAATAATGAGAATAATAAAAGCACCAACTTTTCAATCTTCTTTTGTTTCCATGCCAGGATGGAACTCAGGGCCTTACAAATGCTAGGCAAGCGCTCTACCACTGAGCTACGCCCCCCGCCCCCGGGTATTGCTTATGAAGATTAAATAGTTTTTGTAGAGTGCTTAAAACAGTGTTTCAGTAGCAGGATTAAAATGTATATTAAGGATATTATAGAGGAGAGGAGCGGTGTTCATGGGCTCTGAGATGAGCCTGAAACCAAGGAGAATGAATATTTTAGTATCTCTACTGACATATGTTCTGACCCCCTCCACCCCCCCACAGAGCCCCATGCTCCATTTTAGAGAAGTCAGGGGGCAAGACCGAAGTGGTGGAGGACAGGGAGGAGCTGGGGGCTCTCTGTCATAAAGGACATTGCCCATTGAAAGGGATTGTCTAGGACATGGGAGAAAGAATAAAGAAAGAATGGTTGGAGGTGATCATTTGGGTGTCATGGTGGTCTTCAGAGGCAAGGAAAGGTGTCAGGGTGAGGGAGTGAGTGAGGTTGTGGGGAGCCGGGATTCCCGAAAGGCCTGGAAATGAGAAATGGGGCTGCATCCTCGAGTCCTATACAGCGCGCTCATTTCTCTCCGCGGTGGCGCATTCCCGAGCCCGTCCCACCGCCGCGTAACCAGTCCCCGCTCCCTCTGGTGAAATTGCCAAATTAAAATGAATCATTTGGCCCATAATGGCCGAGGCGCTTATCGGGGGCGGGCGGACCTGCGGCAGCGCCTTATCTCTGCAGCGCACACGGCCCCGGCGCGCCTCGGCCCATGCTAACGAGGCCTGGAACGTGAGCGGGATTAGAGCGCTGCGGGGCCTGAGGCTGCGCGGGAGGGGGAGAGGGGAGGAGGGAGGACCCGGCGCCTTAGCGAGGAGCGGGCCTCAAAATGGCCACGCGCGTACCCCCGTATGGAAAAACGTGAGCATTCTGGCCTTTTTCTTGGGGAGAAGCGACCTGCCGCCTCCCACGAAGTTCCTCGTCAATTTCCTCCCTTTTCCCCCACACCCACAGAAGAGGCCTTTGGCCTTTTCCTTCAATGGGGGGCACTTTCCACCAACACCCCCGCCCTTGTCGCCGCCACCCCTCCCGCCTCGGAGACTCTCTTCCTTCCTTCCCCTTTTTCCTTACGCAATATACAGAAATGCGCGAGGCGGTGGTTGGTTTTCATTTCTTCTTCGTGGTTGTGTGCATGCGGTGGGATTGTGAGAGTGCGTGTGCGTGAGCTGTGGGCCATGCTGACTGCTTCCCATTGTGACTTTTTTGGCGATAGGTTGTATGTCCGAGTGTGATGGTGCCTGCAGTGTTTGGGTGTGTAGATTCGGACCCTTCGAGGCCCTTCTGCCTTTTATTCGTTGTATGTAATCATCCCCGGTTCCTTTCTCGACATGGGTCGGTTCTGTGTGTTGGGTTGTGTGGCCTCGGAGTTGTGTTTGGGTGATTTCGTTGTTATGCCGGACATATGTGAACCTGATTGCGCTGGGTTGTGTGACCGTGAGCAACTGCGTTTGACTGATTTCGTTGTGTCACATTGGATACTCTGCGGGTCTGACCGTATCGGCTTGTCGTGCAGTTTTAGGTTGTGCTTATTTGCTTCCCTCCTCTGGAGCTGGACCATGTGTGGTCCTGTCCAAACCGAGTTGTGTGCCTGCGTGTTTATGTCCTTTCAAAGTGCATTTGCAAATCGCTGGGGGCGGGAGTTGGGGGAGGGCGAGCGAGAGATCGAGGCTCCGGTGGGGACGTCGGCATGGGGGCGGGGAGCGAGATTTCACATTTTATTCCAAATTATGATGTATTCGAGAGCCAGTGTTAGCTTGGATGGGCAGATAGAGCCCAGTCGGCGGCTGCTCTGTCCGGAGGCCTGTCGGTGCCCTGGTGTTTGAGGGGCTAGTTGGTGAGTGGGGGGCTCTTCCAAACTCGAAGCTGAGCAGCGCTCACAGAGGCCCGCGCCTTCAAGCTGGTAGCCGCGGGCTTGGGTTCGCGTCGCACTCAGTCTTCGCCCATTTCTGGTCAGTTTTGCCGGGTGCGGCCGCGGTGATCTGGGGCAGAGGCTGGGTAAGAACAATGGACGCATTTTCCAGGCCTGTATCACGGGTGGGGGCTTTCAGGAATACCTTCGGAGAACATTTTCCCACCTCTCCTCGGGTGAGTGACATCCCTGCGTGGGTCAGATGCCTGTCGCATGGGTGGCTGTGGCCTAGGACCGGGTCAGCACTGCCATAGCTCCAGAAGAAAGGATTGGGTTTTAACACCTATCGTAGTTGCTAATGTCATCACAGTCATCATAATTAACATTCCATTTAAATTAAAATAATCGTCCGAAAGCGCAGGAGATTGTCCCTTTACCCTCTTTAGAGGGAGAACAAAGCAGCGGAGTCCCGTTCCTCCACCTCTCAGCTCTGTTTTCTAAATTGCTGGATTTGGTGTTGGGAGAGAAAATGGAGAGAGGGGGTAAGACGGAGATTCAGTCATAAAGCAAATCCCAACTAACCTATGGGGAATGGGTGGATTAGAAGAGGAGAAAGAAAATTTCTCCCATTGGATTGGAACCCAGGGAAGAATTATTTCTGTATTTCTACCAAAGCCACGGCAAAAAGAAGGAAGACTTCTCAATTAATCCAAGACTTCGATCTGTAATCATAAACTGGGCGATTTAGGCAAAACAAATTTAACAAAGCCCACCGGGGAAAAAATAAAAGCAAACTAAATCCAGTTACACCCTTGGAAGCAGTATGGGATTTGTTTTTACCCTCCTTCCCTTTTGCTTTGTTTGTTACTGCAACACATTATCAAAATTCCCCCCTCCCCATTTTGTCTGTCAAAACCCTGAACAATCGAAAATTCTTTTTTAAGAGTGGTGGAAGGTAGAGGATTTGCCTCCTTTATTTCTCCTTTCTCTCTTTCTTCTTTACTTGCCCTATTTTCCATTTCTTTCTCTTCCTTTCTGTCAATAGGGAGAAAAGAAGGGACCTAAATACATCATATAGCCCTTTCCCCCCAGTTTGGACAGTATTCCGGTAAGGAAGTAACGGTCCTTTGAATGAATTCTGGTTTCACTTTGGGCCGGAGAAGGGTTACATGGGGATCATGGAGAGAATGTCAAGAGGGACTCTGAGGTTCGGTCCCACTGACCAGGCCTAGAAGACTCTTAACTTCATTGTTTTCCGACACATCCCCCTATCCTCATCAGGCTGGGGACGACCCCTTTGCGCTGTGGCTACAGCCGGCGCCTGGCTCAAGTTGCGGAGCAAACAGCGTAGACACGTCCGTACTTAGAAAACAAACTCGGCCATACAGAACCAGACTGATTCCAGTTGGAGGGGGTCGAAATGTTCTGGGCAGCCTGCCGGGAAGGATTGTTGTTGTTGGACTAAATAGCTAGTGCTGATTGGTCAGGTGTAGGGCTCATTTTCACCAGGGCCAGGAGGAGGGGGCTGCAACACCTGCGAGTTGGGGGCGGAAAGCGGTCCGCTATTCCCTGGGCTGACTGGCAGGGCACATGAGGTAATTCCCAGCCATTGACCCCCATTTCTCTCTTGCCCTCCCTCTTTCTCTCCACCCCCATCTTTCCTGGAAACTCGCTTTGGGCGCGGCAGACCGCCCAGGACCACACCGCAGCCTAACTAACTGCTGGCCTCTCTGCGAGAGGGGGAAAAGCAAATCCCCCCATCCCAACCTCAACCCCTCTCGGCGGAGGAGTGGAGGGCCTTTTCAAGAGGGGCCGGTCTCTCTAACTATGCCCCAGGTGAGTGTATTTGGGGTGGATGAGTGGCGGAGTCGGTGGAAACAGTGTTGAGAACGCCTTGGGGTTCCTGCTTGGGGTGGGGGAGGCTCAGGACTGAGGAGAGCCCAGTCTCTGATTTGGGCAGAGGTGAAGAGGACAAACCCGGGGTTGGGAATCAGGGATCTGACTGCCAGTGGCTGTCTCCAGCCTCCAGCAAGGCCCTTTCCTTTTTCCGGCCTCCGGTAAAACCAGCTGGTTGGACTAAATCCTCCTGGCCTCTCCCATCGTCCTGGTTCTGTGGACGTTTCACAAGACCGGCAACTTTGTTGCTATATCCGGGTGATGCAGGCTGCCTGGAGCTCCAGCAGAAAGGCCGAAACCATCCTGGCTAGCTCAGTCCGCGCTTGCGTGGGCCCAGATGCAGGGTCTGATGCCTGGGCGGGGAGGGAGGGGGGCTTTCTGGAACACCCCTCCATCCTTAGCGGCTGACTAGTGTGCTGTGCACCAGCGACTTTGGTTCTGGTGTAGGCTTGCCCCCCAGCCCCCCGCAAGGAGGGACCAGAGACCAGGTCTAAGGCGGTGGCTCTAGCCCTGACTTGCAAAGGCTATTTCGTTTAAGAAATTCTCCATGATGCAGTTTGTGGGGTTGGGAGCTGCTGAAGACGCCTCGCCTGTCCTCAGGAAGGAGCTCCTGGGCTGGAGGTGTGGATGCAGGATTGCAGGCTGCAAACTGGGTCTCTGCAGCACAAAGAAGAATTGTAATGGTCGAATACTATAGTCTTGTGCGATCTAGTCCGAAACCTCCCCCCTTCCGCATCCTCCCCAAATAAAAACATAGAATCCACTCAGGCTTTCCTTTAAGTAATCTTAACCTAAGGCAAGTGATGCAGCCTAGTGGCTCACAACCACGGTGCTCTTGAGTCTTCTGGCTTCCTCTGGAACAAGGACCCCTAGCTGGGGTGATCCTGGTCTCAGAAGAGTCCAGGGGAGGAGCAGAAAGGGGTCTGCTGAAAGCCTTGAAGATATTTATTGGCATCTGGAGAGGGTGTTTGGGGCCAGGGTCAACTCATCTGGAATATAGGCTCCCCTGGTCCCTGAGGAACCTGCTTCCATTGCTGCAGGGGAATTAATCAGGGGTATAAATGTGTCAGAAGGGAACTGGAGCTCAGTTGGTGATTGCAATGCTTTGAAACTCAGAAACTGGGACTGAAGCACTGGTCACTGGGTGCAGGATGGTGGTGGCAGTGAGGTAAGGAGCCAAAAGATGGGAATTGCACATTTCACCAAAGGCTGGTCTATTTCTAGTGCATTTCAACTGAGGGGAGGGAAGCCTGGATGACAGATAGAATTCTGGTTCATTTCCAGTGGCCATCAGTGCCTTGGCTGTCTTACTCTGTGGAGACCTTTTGTCTCCCCTCTAATAGTAATAGTAATAAAGCATGGAAGACCCACTACTGGCTTTGCAGCTTTTGTACAAGTGTTGGGGGATTTTTCTCACTTTAAGTGAGGTTGAAGCTGGCAGACCCTTAACAGCTGGTGTGGTCTGTATTTCAGTTCTCTGCCTCCATGGGTATCTACTGGCAATTGAGTTGCATTCTGGAGGAGGCCAACGAAGGTCTAGTTTCATTTCTGGGATGGGAGGGATGGCTCCCAGGATGACTCTGGTCCAGAGCATTTCCATGGCAGAATGGGAGCTCAGTGACTGCCACTAATGGCTAGACGAACTCTGCTTCCACCTGAATTGGACTTTACTACATTTATTTTCTGCTTTTAAATAACCCAATTTTATAATTTGGAGAGTAGGAATCTTATTTTGAAGAATTTATGAAACCTCTCGAGTTGATTGTGTGTGTGTGTGTGTGTGTGTGTGTGTGTGTGTGTGTATTTTGAGATATGGTCTTTGTTATGTAGCCCAAGCTCAGGATCCTCTGCCTCCAGAGTGCTGAGATTACAGGCATGTACTACCCTGCCCAGTGAGTTGATTTTAGTTTTATTTTATTTTTTACTAAAACAACTTGAAAGTACTCCCGAACTCTGGATCCTGTGTTTCATGGTTTTCCTGTTTGGTTTTTGCTGGGGCTTGGCTCCATGTGGATGAAGCCAGGTGATGGAAGAAAGTTACCATAGGTGTGAGAACAGGAGTATGTCTGTGCTCATCTTGGAGTATGGCAGTTTGGGACAGGGAGGTTCTTGGCTCCAGGTATATATGAGAGGATAACACAAAGTAAGAACTTAGAGGGCACCAAGGTGGAGGAGAGGGGTTACTGGATGAGTTCAAAGGCCTTGACACCTACTCTCTCTCTCTCTCTCTTTTTTTTTTTTTTGTGATACTGGTGTTTGAACTCAGAGCCTCTCCTTTGCTAGGCAGGCACTCTAGAGCTTGAGCCATACCTCCAGCACCTCATTCTGTTGGAGGAGACTCCAGACTCCATTGGCCTCTAGAGCAAGGAGCACTGTTTGAATGTCTGGGCAGTACCACCTCAGCCAGACCTCCCTTCCAGACCTGAGCTCACCTGAATCCAGATGAGTGGAAGGAGTGGAGTGTACAGGACAGTAGGGCCAGGATCGTCTTCATCCCTTGGCCACCTCTATTTTGGGTAGGGTAGGTGCACACAGAATACAAGGTAGATTTGTGTAGTGTGACCACCCTGACACACGCACATACACACACACAGAGTATTTTTTGGGGGGGGTGGTGAACTGGTTCCTCTTGATTATTTTTAGAGAGAACCCCAGCTTCTGTAGCCTTCATTCCCCCTTTCCGCCTCCACCGGGATTCTGGGTGTATGTGTGGGTTGCATGCGTGTAGCAGTAGACTGGGGCTCATTGCTGAGAGGTGAAGGTTTGGGTCCAAAAGCGCTCCACCCCTGCTTGACAGATTCCCCGCCAAAACCGAAAGCGGGGCGGGAAGAACGTCGGGGGATTTGTTCCCTCCCCTTCCCTTGTGGCCTGAGAAGGGGGACCGGGCGATCTTTCTCTCCTTTGTACATTTCCTTCCTCCTTTTATTCCCTTCGGTTTTTCTTTCGCTGACTGTATTCCTTTTCTTTCAATATTTCTGCCGTCTTTCTCCATCTCTGTCCTTTTGGCCCTCAGTCTCGGTGTCTCCCGGGCACTCCTCCATCCCCTGCTTCTAATTCAGAGACCCTTCCTTTCTCCCCTGCTCCTGCCGTCTTGGCCTTTAGGCCCGGCGGGCGGGGGTGTGTGTCCACGTGGCGCTAAGTTTAAGTTTGTCCGCTGCTTCTCACGTCTCAGTGAGTGAGTTCCTCTCGCTGCCCCTCACCCCTTTGCGGGTGGGCGGGGGATGGTTGTGAGAGCGTCCACCGGTGTGTCTGCCCGCAGGATGACCGAGCGGCCGCCCAGCGAGGCGGCACGCAGTGATACCCCACTAGAGGGACCGGACGCGGCCGAGACCCGCATGGCCCCCCCGCACCTGGTCCTGCTGAACGGCGTCGCCAAGGAGACGAGCCGAGCAGCCCCAGCGGAGCCCCCGGTCATCGAGCTGGGAGCGCGCGGCGGCCCAGGGGGCGTCCCTGCCGGTGGGGGCGGCTCCGCGAGAGACTTAAAGGGCCGCGACGCGGCGGCGGCCGAAGCGCGCCATCGGGTGCCCACCACCGAGCTGTGCAGACCTCCCGGGCCCGCGCCGGCCCCCGCGCCAGCCTCGGCCCCAGCGGAGCTGCCCGGCGACGGTCGCATGGTGCAGTTGAGCCCTCCGGCGCTGGCGGCCCCCGCCGGGCCCGGCCGCGCGCTGCTCTACAGCCTCAGCCAGCCGCTGGCCTCGCTCGGCAGGTGAGAGGCGGGCGGGAGCACCGGGAGGGCGAGGCGGGCTGCCGCCCAGCTCCTCTTCTACACTTGGGGGGCGACCGCTATCCTACGCGCCGGCCTGAGCCCGGAAGGCGCTGAAAAAGAGGAGTTCGTTTGGAACCCCTGGGCATGAGAGCCTGGAAGCTGGAGCCCGCGTACCCAAGTGGGAAAGGAGCCCTAGGGGAGAGAGCTTGTGAAGGACTTGTGATGTGCACAGAGGTGTGGAAGCCCAGGAGAGATGAGAACACGCCTCTGGGGGTGTAGGCGTGTGGCTGGGTGTGAGTAGCCGCAGTGCGGGGTGGAGTGGGGGTGGATTGGAGAGCCACTGAATGTGGGCTCCAGGCAGATGTATCTGAATGTGCTCTGATGTGAGCAGTGGAGGGGCTGGCTGCTGGGAGGGTGAGTCTTCTGGAAACTGAAGCGCTAGGTAGACAGGCAAGAGAGAATTACCCAGAGGTGTTTGCAGAGGGCTTCTGATCTCTCCTGGGGGGCTCCTGAGGAAACATGTTTCCTCAGCATCTAGGGCCACTGCCTTTAGCTGTGGCCCGAACCTGTGCGTTCGGTGTGGGTGTATCCACTTCTCTGCTGTGATGAACGGAGGTAGGGCTGGGTTGGGGAGGAGAGGAGGACCAAGGGGTAGAGTTGTAGGACATGCAGTGAGAAAGAGCTGTAGGGGTGATGTGATGGTTAACAGCAGCCAGGGAGCACTTGTGGAGGGGGGAGCAAGGCTTTCCTGTCTGTGGCCCCCAGAAGGCCAAAGGGAAGTGGGGTGAGACTGATAGGAGGGCACAGTATGCCCCTCTGTGGCACCAGAGTTATACACAGCCAAGTGTAAAGGCTGCATCTGCCTGTGGAGGTACCTGTTCGGTAGTCGTGAGATCTGTGTGGATTGGGCACTTGTTTCTGGGCTAGAATGTGCCTGGTGTGTGTGTGTGTATTCATTTTTTGTGTTTGCTCGGTAAGTTCACTTCTGCTTCTGTGTGTTTGTGTTGTGGAGGAGTGTGTGGGTATATGGCCCCTTCCTTCCTTTGCTTGTCTCATGACAGGGGGGAGTGTGTGTGTGTGTGTGTGTGTGTGTGAGAGAGAGAGAGAGAGAGAGAGAGAGAGAGAGAGAGAGAGAGAGCGATTCTATCCTGAGTAAAGTGTGAAAGGAGCAAGGTTGCCCTCCATGGGGCAGAGGGAGTCTGTGGATCCTTTCTTCCCTCCACACCACATGTGATTCTTCTGATCTGCCTACTCCCTCCACAGTGGGTTTTTTGGGGAGCCTGATGCCTTCCCTATGTTTACCACCACAACCGAGTGAAGAGGAGACCCTCCCCCTATGAGATGGAGATTACAGATGGTGAGTCTACCTTGCCTCGGCTGTATATTGGCCCCTCACCCTGGTTAGAGCCCTCTTGTGGGGGGAAGATGACCTTGAGGACTATGCGAATGTCTTGCAATAGGTGGGCAGGCCACCTTGGAACCCCAAAGCCCTTCACCGAGGAACTGAGCTGGGATTAGATGAAGTCATGGGTGGGGTTGGGAGGGCCACACTCAGTCTTGGGAAGAAGGGACATGGGAGAGGGATACACAGTGGTGCTTGGCTCAAAGCTGTAGTCAGTTCTCATGCCAATCTAGGCTCCATTCCTACCCTTTGACAAGGATCCTGGGGAAGGAAGAAACAATCCATGTCCCCAATTTTAACCTCTGACCCTCAGGGAGTCCCTGCATTACCCCTCAAATCCTCTTTGGAATCTGGAGTTTGCTCCCTGCCTGGAATTGCACCTTCTAGTGTTTCTTCCTCCATTTTGGGTTCCCCTTGTCCCCATTACATGTTCTAGAATTCCTCTTGCCACCATAGAGTCTACCCTGGCCCCTTGATTCCTCAGAGGAGCCTCAGCACTGCTACTGTGAATTACCTGAGTTTATTTTGATCCTGAACTTGTGGGGTGGGGCTGAATGAGTGGGAGACTTGGAGGACCCCCACCCTTCTCCCAGTGTTGATCTGATACAGCTGGGTCCCAGTACCAGGGCAGGTGAGCAGGTTCTTCAGATCTGTAGGATTTTGGCAAGTCATTGGGGCTCTCTGGCTGGGGTCCCTGTGGAAAGGGCACTGAGGGCTTAGGGGGGTTTAGGACTTAGGCTGAGTTAGCAAGAATGTGTGTATATGTGGGGTGTGTGTAGCTGGGGCTTCTAGAGGAGGCTGACCTCTGACAACAGAACAAATCTCAAAAGCCCCAGCTTGCCTGGGGCACAAGTGTGTGGCACTGAAAGCAAGGGAGAAAGCTGCTACTGGATTAGAGGGTTCTACAGCTTACTGGATGTGGGGGTGCCTAACAGGAAGTAGGTGGATCCTGCTCTGAAGTTTCCCAGGAGCAAGACAAAGAGATGGGCCAGTGTGGAGGGTTTACCTATGAGTGTAGGTTAGCCATTACCATAAATTTTGCCAGTGTACAGTGAGCACCTGCTCAGTGTCAGGCCAGAGGGAAAGAAAGGATGCCAGAGGTAAGGACAGACTCAGGATAGAGGAGGGAGTTGAAGCATTCTCTGGAAAGGAGCCAGAAAGGAGTATGCAGACATGTAACGGAAGGGAGGGTGTGGGGGTGCAGGACATGTCCATGGGATTTGGATGTCAGAGACTGAACCAAGAAGAGTCCATACAAGTGAATTGATATGGCTTCTCTTTGCTGAGTTTTTCTGGGCTGCAGTTTCCACATGTGTAACATGGGGAGAACAACAGCTTCCTCAGATTGTTGTGAGTTCATTGGGGAAAAGTGTTTTCAGAGCCTGGCTTCAAGTCAGTTCTAAGGCCATGTGAGTGCTCCCCCTTCTCCTCCTCTTCCTCTGCCTGTCAGGAATCTGATGAGGCGACAGTAAGCCCCTCTTCACTGAAGACCAGAACCTCTTTAACACAGCGTTTTTGTATGTCTTATTCATGACCACACTAGCACACAGAACGTTGCAATAAGGTGGGAATGGGGTAGGTAATGGCAATAATAGCTACCTTTTGTTAGATACCTACTATGTGCCAAAGACTTTGTGTGCTTCATTTTTATTCAGTCCTCAGCACTAGCCAATGAAGTTGATATTGCTTCTATTTCACAGATGAAGAAAGTGAAGTTCTAAGAGGTTAAGCAGCCTGCTCAGAACCTGTGTGTCTGAGTCCTAAACCATCCTCAAAGCATTGATCTTAAGCTTTGGAATAAGTACTGGATTCCTCCTCACCTCTTGCTGCCCAAGTCAATCTAGCTATAACTGTGACAGCAGTCATAATGCCCCCTTCTCTGACTAGGAGCCCCCTCAAGTTCATCAGCAATAACCATGGTACACGATTGGTCCTCCCTATGTCACAGCTGAGGACTCTCCTATCTGACCTGGAAGCATGAAAACAGCAGGTTGTTTCCTCTGAGGCAGTCCAGAGTAGGACTGCCCAGCAGGTGTGCTGTGTTTTTCCCAGCCTGGGTCTGGCCCTTGACAAAGAGTCAGCTGGGCTGGGGCCTATGGGGTTTGGAAAGACAGCCTCAGAGGCATGGCAGGCAAAGCAGGGGCTGAGTGATCCTCTCTGGGAAAAGATGGGATTTGCACACATTTAAGAAAGGGAGGGAGGGAGACTGAGAAATTGAGAGAGACCCGAGCAAGAGAGAACTTCCCCATGCTTCTGAAGTCTGGATCCAGTGACTACTGGAAGAGGACAAATAATCCCTCATCCGCTCCCGGGACTGGCTGGCCTTTCAGTGCACATAGCTTCCTGAGGGCTGCTGGAAAGCTGGCTCTCTCCTTGTGTGGAAGGAGTCAGTGTTCTCAACCCAGGGGCTCAGGACCCCTGGCAAGTCTGCTCTCTGTCTTCCTTAACTCTGGAAATCCAGGTCAGGCTTGAGCATTTAGTGCAGTGCTTTGCACACTATAGTTGTTGTGTACTTGTGCACTGGTGTCTGCCACTGCACAGCAGGTCTTAGAACCTAGCATGAAAGTGACTATTGAGTCCAGTCTTAATCAGTGGATTGTAGACATGGGGAGACTGAGGCAGTCCCTGGCCAGCCTGCTCAGAGCCTCAGGCAATGGCTATGTCTCCACTCCTCTCCTGGAGATAGGAGCTCACAGGGTAGTTCTACTCCCTTCTGGTCTCTCCTCTTCTCTCCATTCTTTTCTCTGTCACCATGATTGGTCACTCAGGAAACATTACTGAACCTCTACACTGTGCTTTCCATCACACCTAGAATAAAGTCCTCACTTCTTACCACAGGGCCCTATGAGATCTGTACCCTGTCTACTTTGATCTTGTGGGCACTACTGCAGCGAGGGTGGCTTTGGTTATTTTTTACCTCAGCGCCTGTGCACCTGCTATTCCCTCTGCTTGAACACTCTTCCTCTTTTTTCCCTGTGCCTGAAGGCTTTGCTTCAACCTCAAGTTTTTACCCTATCACCTCTAAGAACAGCTTTTGTAAGCCACCCAAGCTAAGCATAGTAGCTCCTTTCCGTCTTTTACTTGCCATGTGACCCCGTTTGTTTTTTGTTTGCTACTTGCTCATCATATCTCATCATTAAAATGTAAGCTTCACACAGGTAGGGACACTGTTTTGTTCATCACTGTTCTTTAGCATCTAGCACAGTGCACTGGTTGTTAGTAAAACACTGGTGAGCAGATATAACAGTGAATACTGACTGTTTAAGCAGAGGCAGGCATTGTCTCAGGCACACACATGTAATAGTCTGTGAGACTTGACCTCCTGGCTTCATTTTGCAGTGCAGGACAAGGAAGTGGAGGCACAGATTGTCAAGTCTCCTGTGCCTTGGGCACTCTATTGATTGCTAGTCAGGAATTAAACCCAGAGATACTGGCTCCAGTCAGTCTTCCTACAGAATATTAAGGCTCTTGGCACAGTGACTGACTGAATGACACATGGTCCCTGTCTTCAAATGTCGCACAGCCCAGAGAAGCCAAGTACAGAAACATGAGTCACAATAGAGACTGATGGAGAGAATGGTGCGGCTGGGTCATCAGGTGGGAAAGAGGTTGGTTTGGTTGGGTTGGAAGGTTGCAGGAGTATCTGAAGAGATGGTATTCTAACTGGACTTGGAGACTGCTTCCCTAACTTCCCAGTGGGTGGAGTCCTTTGGGGGATCTCCACTCATTCTCCTAACTCGTGTCCTCTTACTCTCAGGTCCCCACACAAAAGTTGTGCGGAGGATCTTCACCAACAGCCGGGAGCGATGGCGGCAGCAGAATGTGAACGGGGCGTTTGCAGAGCTCCGCAAGCTGATCCCCACTCATCCCCCAGACAAGAAGCTCAGCAAGAATGAGATCCTTCGCCTGGCCATGAAGTATATCAACTTCCTGGCCAAGCTGCTCAACGACCAGGAGGAGGAGGGCACCCAGCGAGTCAAGCCTGGCAAGGACCCTGTGCTGGGAGCTGGCGGGGGTGGGGCAGGGGGTGGTGCGCCTCCGGATGACCTACTGCAGGACGTGCTTTCTCCCAACTCCAGCTGTGGCAGTTCCCTGGATGGAGCAGCCAGCCCGGACAGCTACACGGAGGAGCCAGCACCCAAGCACACTGCCCGCAGCCTCCATCCTGCACTGCTGCCTGCCACCGATGGGGCTGGCCCTCGGTGATGTGTCTGGGGCTGCCCGGGATCAGCAGCAGGGGCCCCTAAGCCATTGAGATGGTGGACTGTAGGGCAGGTGGGATGAGTATGTACAGGGCAGTGGACTTGAGTCTGAACTTTGGGAAGCCCTAACTGACCCTGGGCTGGCTTTTCTGTTTCTTGCCTCAGGGGGAGAACAAGAAAATGGAGTGAAGTGGTAGGTACTTTTTCTGAAGATGGCACGGTCTTCCCTCTCTTCCCCAAGTCCTAGAACTTCCCAAGAGGCTCCAGTGTCACTGCTTTTGGCCTGGAGTTTGGGAGTCCTGTCTTTGCTGAGACCAGGGCCTGTCAGCTATCACCTGAGGCACCCAGCAGTCTCTGCTTTGCCTTTAGCTGTGGCTGCTTCTGTCCAAATACATAGGTACCCAAGAGCTGCCCATTTCTTGAGCCCCATCTTCACTCAGGCCTGTGTTGATCCATCCAGCTTGCCAGCTGCTGCAGAGAGTCACAAGTCTGGAGGTGCCTTCTTTAGGGCCTGGTTGAAGAAGATGGCCAGTGTACAGCCTGCTTTTGATTAGCTGGGCCAGAGGTCAGGAATCCTAGGAAATGTCTTGCTCTGGGGATCAGAGCTCCACTTTCTCCTTACTAAGACATGCCTTCCTATCTTGTGGCTGTGAGGATGCCCTTTTGGGTTTTGTGTGAAGGTAGAGAAAGGGAAAGTGACATTAGAGAGAAATTGAGAAAGAGATGTTATGGGCTTGAAGGTTTCAACTCACTGCTTGTGCTGGTGAGCCGTCAGTGTTCTGATGGGCACATGTTCGTGCTGGGAGATGTGCAGCCAATGTGTGTTTTAGAGGCTTAGTGAGAGCTCCATGCTGCAAGATGTCTGTTGGCTGATGGTCTGGTTTTCCTTTTGAATTGAGCACAAACTTGTCTTATGAATTCTTTGTATTTAAGATTTTTGCTTGATTTCAGTTATTGGTGGACTCTTTAGGCCTTGATAGGACCCAGGAATCCAGTCAGAGACCAGGCCCTGGCTAAGACCCAAACATATGCACATTCACATAGCAGAACCTTAAATACCCCTCAACTGTGCATCTTCCAATCATCAAGGGTGCGTATGGGAGGTTGGTTTAATGCTTTAGGACTGCCCCCTCCAAAAGTTGTACATGAAATTTTTGTAAATTAAATCCTTATCTTTCATTTTTTAAAGAAGTAACTACTGCAAGCCCTTTTGTAAAGTTGATAATCCTTTTGTAATGTGGACTACTGCACCCTGTTTTTCTCTGTGACAACCCAGAAGGTTGGTCATGGTTTTCTTAAGGCTAGACCTTCCCGTGATGCATTCAAAGTCCATGGAACAAACTACACTTATGTATCTGTTATTGTACTCTGAGTCACCTAGCTCTCTTCCACCAGACTCTGCCTTTGAGTCAGAGGAAATATATCCAGTGGCCCCATCCTGTCACGCAAGGACCTACCACTGTGGCTGATAGAAAACCCTTTCATGTTCTGAGTGTCATTCTAGTGGCTTGCCCCACTATGATGGGGCTTTGAGTATAGCCCTGTGCAGGTAAAGAATGATCCCTGCTCCCTTCCCCTTTTAAGTTGTGAGATGCAGTTCTTGGGCATGTGAACAATACGGTTAACCTTTGAAGCACTCTGAGTCTCCATCTCATTTCAGACTGCCTAAGTAACGTTTCAGTGAACGTGAGGGTTTGTTCCTTTCCAGTGCTTGAGAGATCCAGTGAGGGGGGGTAAAGACAGACCACTTGTCCTTGGCTCTAAGACTACATTTACTTACCAGTGTGTTGATTTGACTTGCAAATGAAAGATGGTTATAGGTGAATGGGTGGATGGATTTTATGAGATGGACTGCACATTCTATCCAAAACTCAAGTTTCAGTTCCCCCTTAGATTTGTACTGTAACTGGAATAAGTGTCAGTTTCTCATAATACCCTGGTATTGTCTGTTTCCTGGGGCTGTAGTATGGACTGAATGTGGTCATGAAGGAAGTGTTTTGAGACCATAAAGAACTATTGTGTGGGAAGGACTATAGCTCAGAGGTAGAGCACTTGCCTAGCATGTAGAAGGTCCTGGGTTCAATACCCAGCACTAAAAAGAAAAAAAATGCTCTGTTGCTCTTGGTACCAAAACTGCAGTGAGGTCCCAGCTTCAGTTCAGGCCCTGGGCAGTTGACATTTGGATAATTTAGGTTATAAACCACTTTTGCCTGACTTTTCTAGATCCTACTTATTTCTCCAGACTGTCTTTATTTCTGTCTCATTTCAAAGCAAGGAATAGGAATGAGAATGGAAAAGTGATTTGGGAACATGGGAAGACTATATAAAATGGAAAGGGCACGGTTTTAGGTCTTTGTAAGAACTAAAGAAAATCTAGGATTTCTATCTCATCTTTCATAGCCCGTGTCCTTCTCCTTTCTTTGCCTTCTCCTCGCCCATGAAGAAATGGCAGCATTCCAAGAATAATATCTTTGTAATATCTGTACAAAAGGGAGAAATGTAAAGGTAAAAAATGTTTTGAGGAAAACAAAAATGTAATGACTGGATGTAATCACATCTTTTAAGAAGAATTCATGTTGTTTTACTTGTAGTGGCAAATGACAAGATGGTACAACCTTTATTCTTTTCCAGAAATAAAACAAAGGGAACAGCATCCATAGTTAGCTGACAGCTATTTCGGCCTTTTGGGTGGGTCTAGCCATACTTGTGATTTCAGTGGTACATGACCCTTTGCCCAAGGCTTACCCCTGCCTGTGTACATAGCACACTGTTTCTGTGGGCGGGTCCAGCACTTTCTGTCATTGTTGTACTGTATGTGATGAATTGCATTGGTCTCTGCATTTTTCTGCAGAAGAGGAGTAACCGTCCGGGTACCTTGACCTTTGTACAGCCCAGAGGCCAACAGTGTGGGCGTGTGACTCTTCAGCAAAAATGATGACATGTGTATATACATAAGGTTATATGGGGAAGATTTCTAAATAAATGTTTTACAAAGGGATCTGGGCTTCACTTGCACTTTGTTCTCCAAACCTGAGAACTATATCCTCTGAAATGGGGACAGGCCTGGTGGAGAGGAGAGGACTCCCCCTCAAGAATTTCATTCTTTTCCATCTGCCAGGCCTCCCAGAGGAACCTCTTTCCTCAGCATCTTGTACCTGTATTTTCAGCTCAGGGCAACAATGGCAGCTGTCCCTCTTTGTGTGGGGTTCTATGACTGGGTTACTTGCTTCTAGCATAGGTTCAGGATAGATCAAACTGTCACCATTGGTGGCCCCAGGTTCCCTGTGACTCAATGGAGGCTGCAACTCCAGTCCTATATCTTGAAGACTGGGGTCTCAAGCATGGAGGCCGAAGGTTTTGGAAGCCACCGGCTCCATATCACCTGGGAGGGCTTCACTGGAGGCTCAAGAGTGTGGTTTGAGGCAGGACTTTGGATCTAGGGGAGTTCACTGTGCATGGGTTGTTTGATCCTCAGGGACTTCAGTAGGGTGGACACCTCCAACGTGCATTCACAAACATTTATTGAGCACCTGCAATAGGCAAGGTACTGTGCTAGGGGCTGGGCATCCAGGATTGTACAGAACAAGCATCCCTATTCTTGCAGAGCTTGAATTCTAGCAGAGAAAGCAATGAACACACAGACATGCACACCATTGTAAACAGGTTGGCTGTGTAAGAAGTTAGAAAGTGATTAGTATCAAAACAGCTGTGCGAAGAGTGGAACTTGAGGGTCTAACAGGTAATTACAGTTCCTTTGTGATAAGCCCCACTTATCCTTCCAGGCTGTGGTCTTGCAAGTTCCTGCCCTTAGGGAGCTTCCAATCATCTCCAGGAGAGCAAAGGCAGGGAGGCACCTGTCTCTGAGATCAAGCTGTGGCCTGCAGGGAAGCTCCTCTGTTTTTGAAGTCCTCAAGTGCTCATCTTTAGAAGGCTGAGGGCAAGGAGGCACCTGGGCAGGTGGGATGGAGAGATTTGGCCCTGGGATAGGGAGACCTGTGGGAACTGGCTATTGGGGGTGTGTGTGGGGGGGGGGCGGAGAGAGAGAAGCGAATACAAATGCGAATGTAAAATGGTGTTTGTGGAGCAAGTGTTTAGCCAAGTCTAGTACTGTGCAGTCAAGCATGAAAGGGCTGACAGCAGCACCAGGAAGGGGTGGAGGCAGCAGCCTGACTGTTCTAGGCAAAGGCAGGACCCAGCTCGGGAGAAGAGTGATGAGGCATTCCATGTCACAGGGACAGGAAATGCTCTGTGGCCAAGGGAGAAGCTAGAAGGTTACAGAGAATCCAGGCTGCCCTGGCCTATGGAGGACATCTGAGCTAGTGTTCATGTCTCCAAAGGGGGAGAGAGAGGCTCAGAGAGGAAAAAGTCTTTCCGGGGCCCCCATCCTACAGTGACAGGTGGGGCAAACCCAGGACTATCCCTAAGGCACAGGGAAAGAACCATACCCCAGAACCTTGCCTGAAATGGCCCCATTGATCACCACTCCCTCATTGTCTTTGCTCCTACTGTATTCCCTTCCTTCTGGTCAGACCACATTATTTTATTGTTTTATGACATTCTAGTTTTTGCACCTTCTGTTTCTTTTCCCCATAATAGCCTACCCATCCTCACTTCCCACCCTCCTTTCATTTGGTTGACTTGTCCTCAACATCCAGATTCCAACTCCATGGGGACAGGCACCTCACTGTGTGTCCTAAGGCTTCCTTTCCACTGGCATTGTCTACTATTTGTTTATCTATTTCTTCACTGAAACAGAGCTCCTTGAGGGTGAGAGCATGTGTGATTTAACCTTGTGCCCCAGCCCCCTAGGGTGCACCTGTACAGGTGCCTTTCAGTATTTACAGTGAAGAGCTCCTCTGATGTGCAATCTTCTAGCTCAGTTCTGCCCTGAGATGATGAGGGGCAAGTGGAAAACTCTGCCCTGGGTTAATCAGAAGTATGTGGACAGCTCTGCCATAGCCTAGGTGGAGGCATATGAACAGCTCTGCCCTGGGCTAGACAGAGGCAAATGGACAGGTCTGCCCTGGGCAGGTGAGAGGCAGGTGGACAGCCCTACTCTGTGCTGTACTGGGGTGCTTGAGCTTTCTCTCGTTGGAGGAGGGAGATGGAGGAGGGTTATAAACTTTCTGGGGCTGGGCTGAGGCAGCCTGGTTATCATCATAGGCCTGCTGGGGGAGTTGTGGAGTGATGGAAATCAGGGGCTGTTTATCTGACAGCAGCCTGGCCTCCTCATGCCTGTCTACAGTCCTCTTCCCTGTCTGCAAAACAACTACTGTTCCCCAGCAGCCAGCACTGCCCTGTCCCTGTGAGCCAGACAATCAAGGTGACACAGATCCTGGTGTCCAGCAATAGAGTTTGCCAATCATAAGTCCAAGTAAGGGAAGGACTATGTCAGGATTCCCTAATGGGCAGGGGAGATGAGGCCCAGAGAGGGTAAGAAGCTTGACCAAGGTGACCTGGGATGTGAATTTGGGGCTGCATCCAGAGATAGGACTCTGAACCCCTCAGGAAGGAAGAAGAGACAACCAATAGGTAGTAGGCGTTCTTGGAGCAGATGGGCCTGGGCTACACTTGGGGAAGATGTCAGCTTAATTTGTCCCAAAGGTCTGTCCAGGACCGGGAACAATCCTCCTGGGCAGTGGAGAGCTTGCTGGAAGCAAGGGGCCAGTTGGGGACAGGCTCGGTAAGTGACTGTGAGGACAGTTGATGAGATACAATTTACGAAAGGAGAGATGATGCTGGTTGGGAGTGAGCAGAAAAGGCAACTGGGCCACTAAAAAGAGTGGCCTTTCGTATTAGAATCACTGAGTTTAATTTTCAGTCCTAGTATGTAGCGTTCCAGCTGTGTGACTCTGAGTGAGTCATTTTACCACTCTGATTTTTTTTTTTTTTTGGTAGCACTGGGGCTTGAACTCAGGGCCTACACCTTGAGCCACTCCATCAGCCCATTTTTGTGATGGAGTTTTTTAAAGATAGGTCTCTTGAACTATTTGCCCAGGCTGGCTTCAAACCTCAATCCTCCTGATGTCTACCTTCTGAGTAGCTAGGATTACAGGTGTGAGTCACCAGTGCCTGGCTTACCTCTCTGAGCTTTTATTGCTTCATCTGTTAAATGTTGATATTAACACTCATTTTCTAAAGTTGTTGTGGAACTTCTAAGTAATATATGTAAAGTGCTTGTGTTTTATAGAAAGCATCCATTATTATTCCTGAAATGGGATTCGATGGGACTGTCCTTGGGAATGGCAGAAGAGAGAAAGAGGGAAGAGGGTACAGGAACATTAAGCACCCACAGCAGCAGGACTTCCTCTAGGCCTGCCTCATGCTGAGGAATGCTGGAGAGGTGCTCATGGGCTTGGTGCCAGTGTGTTGGGGATGGGATACAGAATATCATAACACTAGCGAGAGGCCCAGTCACCTTGGGGCCTGGCCTTGGCAGTAGAGGCCCTGAGCGAATGTTTGCTGAATTGACCAGGCCCGAGAAGGAGGCGAGGGAAGGCTTTGTGGAGGTGGTGTCATTTCCTTTCCTGAGTCCCAGCATTTTCTGTAAATGGCAGAGGCAAGCTGTTCCAGGGATGCTGTCTTCCTCCCTCCCTGGACCCCATATTCCTGTCCAAGCCACTGGGGGCCAGGCAGTGCTGGGCTGCTGGAGTTACCAAGCACTGTGACTCTGTCTCCTCCTTGTTCTCTCCACCTCTCTCCCTTGCTTGGTCAGAGCCCTGCCTCCCTCCCCAGCTCTTGGCCTTCTTTGTCCACACAATAACAGGATATGATCCGTTCAAAGAGAGGAAGTGGGGAGGACGGGCAGTGCTGATAGCCCATTCTGACTCTCCATTCTCCTCCCCTGTGGACCAGCTCCTACAGCTCCCCCGCCCCCCGCCTCCCCAGGTCTGCCTGGTTTCTCTTTGGATCCGGGAAGGATGAGTGTGGGGTTTTCAGGCCTACCCAGGTCTTTTGAAGCCTATGGAGATACGTGTACTGGCCATGCCTTCGCAGGGTCTGCCTTCCTGGAACGCCTCCTGGGCCAAGCTGTGGACTCTAGGTTATCTCCTGGAGCCACTGGAGCCTGAGGATTAGCAGGCAGGTCCCTCATCTGCCACGTCAGCAGAGCTCCACCTGCCCGACTGCTTCTCCAGGTCCACATAGACCTGATCCAAAGCAGTGGATCCAAAGGTTCTTGTTGAGTGCTGGCTGGCTTGGTCTTGGCCAGCATATAGGACAGACTGCACAGTTCAGGAAACTGAGGCTCAGAGAAACAAAGGGTACGAACTAGGGCTAGGCTGCAGGTAGAACCTCCAGTACTCTCTTCCCCTCCTTAGGTCAGTGCTGTTCATAGAACTCTTCCTGGGATGGTAGAAACATTTTTCTGGGTCCAATATGGTAGTCATTAGCCACATGTAGCTCTTGAGTACTTGAAGTATGACTAGTGCAGCTGAGTAACTGAATTGCGCATCTGGCTTAATTTGAATTAACTTCAATGCAAAGGGCCACATGATGTTATTGGCGACCATACTGAACAACAAAGCTTAAACTCTCATCCCTTAAGTTTACTTATCGTCGCCTTTGCTGAACCAGTCAGTGCTACCCCACAGTCAGGTAGTTGCAGCCATATGTTAAGTGCTTCTTTAGAGGTCAGCCAGGGAGGAATTTTACTCACTTAAGAGTCATGGAAGTTTCCCCAAAGGAAGTTGCTTCTTTTTTTTTTAGTGTAAATTAATTGTACAAAGGAGTTTCACCATGGTGTTTCGTTTGTGCATATATTGTACAATGATCAGATTAACCCCCTCTATTGGTCAGCTCTGTGCTTTGGGAACTCTGTGTGGCCACTGTGGAGGAGCCAGTGTGAGATAGGGAGAACAGCAAGGAGTCAGAGCATGGTACAATGGCCTGCTTGGCAAGAGGCTTGGAAGAACTTCTTGCTTTTGCAGAGTCAGAGACCTGGATGTGTTTGTGAAAAGCAAAACTGTGATTTCAGACCCTAGGACTTGAA